ATCCCCCATTCCCTGGGACCAGTCCCCTAGTGCTGGGACCTACATCTGGCACCACCTCCAGCTGATTGAAACCACTGGGAAAAGGTTTTGCCCAGTGAAAGGCTGATGCCTACACCCCCAGACACCCTGCTCAGCTTTGCTTGAGCAGCACAGCAACAGTTAAAGGACATTTGCTCAAGGGTTTCCCTCTGGACTACAAATTTCGAAAGGAAAATGCCAGAGGGGTGCAAGCAGATGATAAACGAGCAGCTTTATGCCAAAAGTATTTACATTCTTATCGTCAGCTTTTTGCTCTGCTTTCCTCCTTGCCTTCAGGGCCTGCATTTCTTGCAGTTCCTAAAGCCTGAAGCCTTTTGTTGCAGTTAAGTACTGGGGAAGATTAGCCCTTGAAAGGGATTTTTCTCTTCATTAGTGCAGATGCCAAACCAGTTATCTTGTCATCAGAAAAATAAACCCTCTTGTTCCATCCTTCTCTGAACCATCTCAGCTGGGGAAGAGGGTTGGAGGTAAGTCAACTGCTGAGGTTGCTGAAAAGACCAGAGGGGCAGGAAACAAAGAGTTGTGGTTCATGGGCAGATTTCTCCTGCTTAATCTGTTGCTTTTGTCCTGTCCACAATGGATGTCAGAGCAGCTCCCAGTGCCTTCATAAATAACTGTAAGGCTATTGCAAAATATTGCATGACTGTCACAGCCATCATATATCTGTAATAGAGTTGGCACATCTTAAAAATATCCTTGCTCTGCAGTTTTTAGAAGGAACTTAATGAGGAAAGACAGGCTGGAAAATACAACCTTTGCTTCCATATTCTGATACTTGATGTATTTTTTTTTTATTGAACACAGTAAATCCTGGTTTTACTAATCATATGAAATCCCTGGCACTAAAAAATATTGCCTAGAGAAGACTCAAACCAAGTAGCAAAGGGAAGTTTAAGTCCTTACTCAAAAAGGTTGTTTCTTAAGGGGCTCTCCTGGGTCAGTGCAATGGGAATTCTTTTGGGGGCTATTTGAAGTTTTCTGCACCAGTGACCCGGGGTTTGCACCTTGAGACAGACACCTCAGTTAGTGATTTCTGCTGCAAACCAGAGCTGCCAGGCCTGACCCCGGGAAGAAGAGCTCCTGAGGTCAAGGTAAAGGAGATGAGATGCCCTGAGATGCAGATATGGAGACATGCAAAGCAGGGCATGAAGGGCTTTCCAGCACCATCCCACCCCTGGAGCTCTGATCCCAGTTGTCCAATAAATACTCTGAGTTGCTGAGGGGTTAGATCCTGACTTGCTGTGGGCACTCATGGTAACCATTGACCTCTGGCTGTCCTCATGTCTTCTCCTGGGCTGCAGAGGGGCTGGGAGCACTGGTTTTCCTTCTGCTAGTGAAATGTCTCCTCCTTTCTGCTGGTTATTGTGCAGGATCACTCCTCCAGCTGCACTCTGAAATTTCCTATTGTTGTCTGGCAATTCAGAGCCCTGTGAATCCTTTATTTCCCTAATGGAGTTTCCTAGTAAATAGCTTTGAACTCAGATCCTTGTCTCTACAATAGATACTCTTCTGCCTCACCAGCACCACACAATTAACAGCATTATCTTGTTAAACCTGAAGAGGGGCAGGAAGGCTCAGCCATCATTTTAAAGCATTTTATTGCTTGGAAAGTGTTTACAATAAGCTACAGAAGTGGTACCTGAAGCCCAGTGCTGCATTCGGATGCCTGATCAGCTCAGCCACATGAAAATGTCAGTAATTCAGGCAATATTTTAGGTGGCATTTCCTAACAGCAGCCTCAAAGCACCTGGGTTTTTTAGAGGGGAAGGGAAAGGAAGGGCTTTGAAGCATAAATGGAAAGCTAACCAGAATTGGAGGACAATAATTCCTATTCATGTAGATGCAGGTCCTCAGTGAAGACACAATTTCAGGGGTGAGGCTGTGAGAGTTTGTGGCTGCACTGGAGCACTCCTTGATTTCAGGAGAGAGGAACCTCAGTTGTTTCCCTTCTGGAACAATTCATGTTTTCAGGTCATGTTTGCTACTGGTTTCAATGTTTGCATTTCACACACACAGGTTTCTCCATCTCTGTGTAGCCTTTTATCTGGAAGTGTGTAAGTAGCATTAGCTGAGAAGAACATTTTGGATGTTGCTGTGAATTGATTTGGAAATAACCTGGAAGTCCTTGCTGTCCTTGGCTGCCCTGTGTGTCTGCAGCCCCACACCTGCAGAAACCCAAGGGACTAGCACAGGAACCCCAGGCTGCTCTGTAAAGCCTGTGGAAGGATGGAGAACTGCTGGGGAAAGAGGTCACTTGGTAAGGCTTTCAGGAGAGAAGTGACTGCCTGGCAGTTGAGTCATGCTCAGTGAATTTATCAGCTGCAAATGTCAAAGACAGGTCAGCAAAACCCACAACCAGCTCATGAATCACTATCTGGTTTGCAACTTGAAAAAAAACCAACAACAAACCACATGGATTTAATAACTTCTAAATGTGGTAATAAATGGTGGGTAAAATAACCGGTAACATTTGTGGTGGACACCAAGTTAAAGATGAGCTGGCGATGCACCCTGGTGGCAAGGAAAGCCACCAGCATCCTGGGCTGCATTTGGATGAGTGACAGGTCAAGGAGGTGGTCCTCCCCCTCTCTCCGTGCTGCTGGGACCAGAGATGGGGTCCCCAGTACAGGAGGGACATGAGCAAACTGGAGTGGGTCCAGCCAAGGGCAAGGGAAGATGTTTAAGGGACTGGAGGGTTTGTTGCAATGGGAGAGGCTGAGAGCTGGGGCTTTGCAGCCTGAAGGACTTAAGGCTCAGGGAGATCTCATCCATCCATGTGTGTAAAAAGCTGGTGGGTAAGTAAAGAAGAGCTGGGCTCTTCTCAGGGGTGCCCAGGGACGGGGCAGGCAGTCAGGCTCATGAGCTGAGCAAGATTTTCAGCAGTTTCAGGGAGACGAATTTTGAGAAGTGTGTTCTTAATGATCCTCTCTAGGGCAGGTGCTGACTAAGCAGGAAAGGTGGCCATCAGCAGAAGGGTGAACTGATGTGCTTCTGCATTTAGGTATTTGTTACTGGTAGAAAAGGAATTTCATAGAACCATAGAATGGTTTGGGTTGGAAGGGACCAGAAAGATCATCTGGATTCAACCCCCCTGTCATGGGCAGGGACACCTCCCACCAAACCAGGTTGCTCCAAACCTCATCCAACCTGGCCAAGAACACTTCCAGGGATGGGGCCTTGTCCCAAGTCCCTCCCCAGCTTTCCTGGAGCCCCTTCAGGCACTGGAAGCTGCTCTCAGGTCTCCCTGGAGCCTTCTCTTCTCCAGGCTGAACACCCCAACTCTCCCAGCCTGTCCCCAGAGCAGAGCTGCTCCAGCCCTGGGATCATCTCTGTGGCCTCCTCTGGACTCTCTCCAGTCCATCCTGTTGAGAGACAAACACCTCTGAGATTTATACATGGGAAATCACAGATCTCTGGGGGCAGCTCTGAGTGGGGACTATCTAAATTTACAGATGACAAGAAGCCTGGGTGACTTAAGTCTGTTGGAGGGAGGGATTAGAATTTACAGTGTTCTTGACAAATTGGAGAAATAGACTGAAAATAAATTGATTAAATGAAGAAAAATGCTTTACACTGGACTGAAACAGGACTACTAGAAAGCCTCCTACATGGTGAAGAAGAACAAGACAGGTAACAGTTCTTTGAGAGAGCAGTGAAGAGTCATGAAGGATGACAAGGTTTACAGGAACCAGGAACAAAAAAATACTGTCCACGTTTGTATGAATCAGGGTGGATGATTGGGAAAAATCCAGCCACTCCACTTTGCACTGGTAAGGACTCAGAAATGTGTCCTAGACTGATCCTTGAGAAGGATCTAGGTCAACAGGAGAGACCACAGGGTGCT